AAGGGAGGATATCTAACACCCTTGATTTGTCTGCAAGTATTTTTTGTACAATCCGTGCTAGTAATGCTACTGGAGGGAAGATGTAGGCCACCTTGAATTTCCAAGGGATTGAGAATCCGTCTAGAACTAAAGGGAGATCTTGTTTCATAATGGAAGCAAAATTTCATACTTTTGTGTTCAATCTGTTGGCAATGAGATCCATCTCTGGTAGACCGAACCTTCTGACTAGGATCTTGAATGTTCCTGGATGAAGGGACCATTCTGTCTGAGTTCAGTGTTGCCTTCTCAGAATGTCTGCCACTCTGTTATATGAGCCTTTGATGTAAGTTGCTGAAATGGACTCCATTTGAGCCCAAGCCATGATCTGAGCACAGAGCCTTGGGAGTGTTATTACCTTTGTACCACCCTGACAGTTCAGGTAAGAGACAGTAGTGAGATTGTCTGACTGAATTCTCACGGATTTGTTTCGGATTTCTAAATTGGAAGCTAGAAGGGCATTCTATACAGCTTTCAATTCTCTGTAGTTTGAGGACAGAGCAGCTTCCGTTTGGGACCAGGAAAAAGAGATCCCAGATGTGCACCCCAACCTGTGACTGATACATCTGTATTTATGGTGACCCAATTTCTTTGCTTGAATGAGAGACCGATTTTCATAAATTTTGAGTCCATCTACAAATCCAGTTGACTTTTTACTCTGTCTGAGATTTGAATGTTTGTCCAGATCTTCTTCTCTTTTGGACGATTTTAACAAGATTTCCCATTGCAGAGGTCTGATCTGAGATCTTGCCCACTTTAGTGCCGGGATGGTGGATGTAAGGAGGCCTAAGCAACTCATTGCTTGTCTGACCAAACATCGATTCTTTTTCTGAAGAATACAAATCTTGTTTTATTCTCCTAAGTTTACTACTTGGCAGGAAATTTTTTTGAGCCACCGAATCCACCAAAAAGGCCTAAAAACAGATTCCTTTCCAGCTGTTCTATTGATTCTGCCTTCAGCAGCCAATCGTCTAAGTAAGGGACGATGGCTGTGCCTTTTATTTTCAACACGGCTGTTAAAGGTAGAAAGATCATGAAAATATGAGGAGCTAGGCCAAATGCAAGTGCCCTGAACTGGAAATGGTTTTTGTTTGCCTGATTTTATTGCAAACCTGAGAAACCTTATTGAGCTTACGGCACATGAAGATAGGCATCCTTGAGATCTATTTTCGCCATGTAATCTCCCTTCTGAGGAATATGAGCGAAGGAAAATATATTTTCCATGAGGAATATGAGCGAGGGAATATGCTTTTAGGTCTAGAATAGGATGAAAAAAACTTTTGTCTATTTTTTTACGAGAAAGACAAGAGTATACACCTTGGAACTCTTGGTGTTTGGTACTTTTTCTATGACTGCTTAGTTTAGGAGTGTCAGTGAGGCGAGTGAGAAGGGCTTCGGACTTTTTAAAAATTGTATATTGACACCAGGAATGCTGAAGAAGGGGTTCTTGTAAACTTTATTCTGTAGCCTTCTTCTGTAGTATGCCATATCCAACTGTTGGAAGTAGTTTCTTTCTATTTTTGAACAAAGTATTTTAGACAGCCTCCCACTCTTCTGGTGTCAATATTTTCTTCTATTATCTGTCTTGTTTTGGTATTCTCTCATGCCTTCACAAAATGGTTTCTGAAACCTCCTAGATTTATCTTGAAACCAAAAGGATCTTTGACTCCGTTATTGAAACCTCCTGGTGTTAGAGGATCTGAATTCTTGTGACAGGGCCTTTTTAGTATCAGCCATTTGTTTAATAATTTCTTCCAGTGTAGATCCGAACAGTTTGTTCCTCTCAAAGGGCAGTTCGCAGAGATACGCCTTAGATGCTGTATCTTCCGTTCAAGATCTCAGCCACAGGGCCCTCCTGGCTACTGATGATAGACCCAGTATTCTGGCAGAAAGTTTGAGACATTCTTCGGTCATATCTTGAATAAATTCATTAGATAGACATAAAAGGTTAAATAAGTGCGACAGGTCTTTGTCTGCTTTTTCTGCAACCATATCCTCCAAAGAGAAGAGCCAGGCACCTTGCGCCTTTGCTACTACTGCTCCTGAAATTGCTGCTTTGCATTGATAACCTGCAGCCTGATAAGCCCTTCTGCACGATGTTTCTGCGCACATATCCATAGACTCCTTTAAACTTGAAACTTCCCCTATAGGAATGGTGGTTTTTTTTGTTTTTGTTTTTTAAAGCTGGGCTACTTGGCTGTCAACGTTCGGTAAATCTTCCCATCTTTCTTCACTTTACAACTTAAAAATCTGTTTAAAATGTTCAGAAACAAAAGCCAGTCTTTCAGGATATTTCCACTCCCTCTGGAGCAGCTCCAGAATTCTGGGATTAGTAGGGGAACCTTTGGCCTTACTTTTAGAGGGTTCCATTCCCTAAAATAAGGCAGCGACTTCATTAACCAATTTTGTAAGTTCCTCTGGAGGAAAACCTTCATCCAGGCTTGAGTCTAGGCTGGAAACTTCCGATGTCGAAGAACTTGAGCATTCACCTGAAGGCCGTTGTGATTGAGAAGATGACTTCAAACGCTTAAGTTTTTTTATCTTCTTTTTCTGGAGTCTTAACAGCACCGCTGTCATGCTTTACCAAAACCTTAAATGATACGAATGTTTGAGAAAGGATTTCCTGAAACCAGCTCAAAAAAAGATTGCATCTCTTTTTGTTTAGATTTTTCTAAGGATTGTGCAGCACACTGGTTGCACATCTTTTTTCTGCATCCGTCTGGCAGTGGAACAGCACATTCCAAGCAGCAGAGGTGTTTAGCTTTAAATGTAGCCTTCCTGGGAGGTGGAGCTGACATTTTCTTTGTCCTTGTCTGGGGATGTAGGACTGAACATATCTAAAATAAAATAAGAATATCACAAGAAATATAGAATAAGAAATAAAAACTGAGGCATTTTAAAGTAGAGACTAATTAATCTCACCTCAAAATACCGGAGGGCTTGTGACAAGGTGAACCAGATACTGGCGACCACCCAGGTGTCAGTCTGTTCAGTACAGCTTATATTACCAATTTTGCGGCAAATGTTTGACGTTCCGATCATGCATGCGCATTGGCGTGATCAGAACTTCAGTGGAATGCAAGGCCACCTGGGAATGCGTTCCACTGCTGTGGCAGGGGCATGGCCTGCTTCTGGATTGGAGGGCCGCCCGGGACCTCCTACTTCCTGCCGGCATATTGAAAAACCCCTTCCATTTGCATTCCGTAACGCATGCGTGGAACTGGTACCTCTCAACTCACCTCCCAGGGAGCTTTTGGGTCCACATCTCCCTGGCTGCAACCGGTCTGTCACCAGTTTTTCTTGGAGCGTCTTGTCCGTCCCGTTGTCAGGACAAGAACAACTGTGGATGAAAGGAGGTTACTGCCTTTTATGAGCAGGTAGGCGGGAGTGTTTAAATTTGTATATCTTTCAGAGACTCTTGTCCACATAAGAAGGAACAACCCACTTGTGCAGAACTGCCACTTACAACAGAAAAAAAATAAAAAATTTTTACGGTGAGTAAAATTTCAGGTTTTTTTGTGATCTGGACTGCTTGCACTTTACACTTTTATTTGGACATTTCTCTGGACTTATGTACATTTTTACCAGTTATCTTTTACATAGTTTTTTTTGTAGTCTTTTTATATAGTATATAGTTTTTATCAGTATAAAATGTTTCCAGCGCTACCTTCTCTCCTTTTTTCTATATACTATACGATTATCTTTGGGGTCTGTGAGGGTGTCCCACTGACTTAGGTGAGCTGCCCCCTTTGTTTGTTGTTGCCTGATAGCGCTGAGCCATTGTTCCTTCGTTCTCAATGAATTATAGCAAAATGAATTTCAAAAGCTTGTCTAAAAAAAAAAAAAAAAGACAAAACCTGGAAAACAGATGAAATGGAGAAATTTTTCACACCAACGCAAATAAGCGCGCGCACACACACAGTGCAGATACACAGACTCACGATGACACACTTTCAGATAGAAGCACATAATGATATACAGATACCTTATATGACCTTAATGTTTACATTTGGTTTTCAATTAACCACACAGTTCTCGGTTTAGTAAACACAGTGACTTGTGAATTTGGTTTATATTTGGTATTCTTTAATGTGGATGTTTGCCTATATAAAATCATGTGGTTTGATGTATGAAGGCTGCCCCCCTCAGATCTTTTACTTACGAACCTGCACCTTTGTTCCAAAATAACAATTTCAGTATCTAAGAATGATAGTGTAGTACAGAGACCAACCAATTTCCCAACTATGGTCATTTATTTTTATCTTTTTATTGTTATGATGTGTTCCCTCTATGAGACATTTATCTCATCTTTGTGGTCCTACAATTTAGAAATCATCCAGAGAGGGCACTAGGGGTTGGAGAAAGCAATACATCTTTCAAAACACATACAAGCCATCAAGCACCCTACAAGCAAGAACTTGGGAATATATATTTTTATTTCAAGTTCATTAAATATATGTAGTGTCAGTTGAGCACTCTCAGCCAAAAAAGTGTGGCCCTGTATTAGGCCATGCGTAGCTCAAGAGAACTCTGATGTAGCACAGGTGCACCCAGGTAAGTTATCAATTCATTTTGAAGGTTTGAGTATACCTTTAAACCAAATGTGGCTTTAGGATGCTCTGTTCTGGTCTAAGGGCTCAATGTGCAGATAAGATTGCCAAGGTTAAAATATTGCTGGAACATACAAGAGCAGTGATTCTAAAACACAGGAAGTCTCAAGTGGTGTTTGTAAGAAGCACGGTCATTTTCCATGCAAACAGGAAGAATTTATTAGAAAAATAGGTTCTCTCAGTCTGACAATGAACATTTGCTGTATGCACTACTGCTTACTTAATGTCATAAATTAGTTATACTTATTGTTTTTTAGTATTGGCGTTTACCAGTTACAACACTTATGGAATTATCAATTGGACACACACTGCCAAGCACTAAAACAGGACAAACAAATAATATCTTAACTTTCATTTTAATATATAAATATTAGAAAATATTATGTAATATTTAACAGCACCATGCCATAGAATAGGATATGCATTGCATACCTAAAGCCCAAACCAAATCCAGAACTTTGACTCTATGGCAGATTTTGAGATACCGAAGCAGACCTAACTCCAGTAATCAACAAGAGAGATTGAATAAAACCAGCCATCTTCTACCTTGTGGAAGGTCAATGCAAAATGGTTATGTTGTGATGTGTAATATAGTGCTTGGGATACATTCCTTCAGAACTAAATGCTTCTATAATGTTAATTGTTAAATAAGTTCCTCATGGTAGAGTTTTACAGAGTTCTTGGAGCATCCAACGATTGTCCTTAACTTTATCTCTCAGACAAGTGTATTCCTGCACCAACTCTTCAAATTCAGGGCCCAGGAACTCATATGAAGATAGAATCTGTTGGGACATGGCTAACTCATGCTTCTCAGTCTTCGCAGCCGCTTCCAGGCTGGCCCTTAAAAAGCAATAAATTTATTCAATAGGTCAAGAGGACTACTTTACAAAACCACAAACTCTGCCCAGAAAGCACAATGGACCTCACCTGATTTTTCTGTGAACTTCAAGTTTTTCAGAGGTATATGTGTCTGTAAGTACCTGCAGCTCCTCCATCCTGTGATCAAAATCAAGACACTGTTAGCAAGAATAAGTACACATTGACTACTTTACCCAAATAACCATATTGAGATCTCACCGAAGTTTAAGGAACAATGCGTTACTTTTTGCCTCCAAGTACTCTGCATTTATACGATCAATGTCAGACTGAGCTTGCAGGCGCAGCCGTGAGGCAGCCTCTTGCATGAGCAAAAGGCAGCGTAGCAAGACCTAGACAAAGATACAGAAAATAAAATGTATGTAATATTCTAAATTATCATTTATATAGCATTGATATATTTCACATTGCTTTACAATTATAGAATGACATTTTTTGGACAAGTAATTGACATAGTAAATATTAACATAGACAAGAAAGTGAAATTGGTGTGTGGAAGAACCGAACAGTGAAAGGAGAAAGAGTGAGCTGGGCTATGGAAGTGCTGTAATGAGAGTCACTCGGGAAGATAGTAGACTATCTAAAAGAAGTGAGTTTTCAGTAACTTCTTAAATGACTGAAAACTAGGGGGAAGAGTCTGATGGCATAGGGCAACAAATTCCATAAGAATGGTGTAGCCCTTGAAAAATCTTGCAGATAAGAGTTAGTGGTGCAAAAAAAACAGCATATGGCAGGAAAAGTTCACTTGGATATCGAAGGGCACAAGAAGGGGTGTATTTGTTCAGTGAATAGGAAATGTAGTGAAGAGTGGTGTCATTGAGTGCTTTGTAGGTTAGTGTACTGTACAGGAAGCCAAGGTAATGAGAGGTGAAAGAGTGATGTGTGATACATAAAAACACATAAAAAATGTGTTATATAGCTCTCTGTCAAAGGCTTTGTAATGTCCAGCTAGATTATTTACCAACTTCCATGGAAAAAGTCCTCCTTTTTCCCACAAATCACTATATGCAACTCAAATGTTACCAGACTTCAGTCATTAGTCAAATTACAATACAAGGGAAATGATCTTGCTCATATCTTAAAAGAACAATATAGGTACCCAGACCACTTAAGCTAATTAAAGTGGTTTGGGTGCAATGTCCCTTTTGCACCTATTGCTGCAATGTACTTTTGGTCCAGTATCAGACGCTGGACATGCTCACGCTCTGCATTCCTCTGATTCAATGCTTTCTTATGGGGTGGTATAATGCGCCCACTTCCCACGGCCGTCAGAGGGGGCGAAGTCAGGACCCAGCGCCGACGGACATCAGTGCTGGGAAAAGTTAAGTAAATAATAGGGTTTCATAACCTTTATTTACCCAGTCACGGGGTCGCGAGGGTTGTGGGTGGCAGAGGGAGCTACAGTGCCAGGAATACAGCTTTGTATTCATGGCACTACAGTATCCCTTTAAGCTATAGAACAAGACATGAAAGCTTAATAACATAGCACACACAGAACAACGCAAAATTATAAAACAAAAATACATTAGTTGAGCACTGCATGGTACACATACTTGAGGGTACATTTCTTGTTGTTTTCCTAGGGTAGCTTCAATATCCAGCTGCTTCTCTTTCTCATTTTTTAGACGTCTGCTCTCATCCTCCAGTGTGCTAGCCAAACGCAGAGCTTTTGCTGCACGAAGGACATCACCCTCTTCATCTGAGATACATAGATAAACAGTCAGAGACATCCAATGGCTGTGTGTCAGAGCTTACATTGCGGTACAATTATGTCATGCACTGGAGTTGTTACTGGTCTATTTAACTAAACTGTGCAAACACTTTCCTTTCAAAGATTCCATTACCAATATTATTGTCCCTGGGATTTAGTTATCATAAAAATGATGGGGGATTGCAGGGCCAATACAGAAACAGGCTTGCGCAAATATTAAGAAATTATTGCAAACATATAACCATATTAAACTAATATTTAATGAGGGGGGTTTATCAATGCAAACCTAGATTTAATATTTTTGAAATTTTTTAAAATGATTTAATATTTTGAAAAATAATATTTTAATAGGGATGTTTTTTTTTTAAAACTTTTTTTATATATGTTAAAAACACATTTACTTACCGTAAATGTATTTTCCCAATGCAAGGCAATGTTCACATATGGATTAGAGGCAATGCTCACATGACATACAGAGCACTGAAATTAAATTTTAAAACCAAGACCTCCTTCTGTTACCACTTACTCTGAAATAAAACTAGTGCTCCCCACATGGGCCCCAGTAAGATAAAATGCACACCTTATTAATGCAAAAGCATTAAAGGACCACTCTAGGCACCCAGACCACTTCAGCTTAATGAAGTGGTCTGGGTGCCAGGTCCAGCTAGGGTTAACCCATTCTTTTATAAACATAGCAGTTTCAGAGAAACTGCTATGTTTATAAATGGTTTAATCCTTCTCCCAAGCCTCTAGCGGCTGTCTCATTGACAGCCGCTAGAGGCGCTTGCGTGATTCTCACTGTGAAAATCACAGTGAGAGCACGCAAGCGTCCATAGGAAAGCATTGTGAATGCTTTCCTATGCGACTGGCTGAATGTGCGCGCAGCTCTTTCCGCGCGTGCGCATTCAGCCGAATGGGCGGAGAGGAGGAGGATCAGAAGAGGAGAGCTCTTACCCCTAAGTTTTTACCCCTTTCCAGAGCCAGGCGGGAGGGGGTCCCTGAGGGCACTATAGTGCCAGGAAAAGGAGTATGTTTTCATGGCACTATAGTGGTCCTTTAAACATTTATTTGAGGGAAGAAAATTTGTATTGCCTCTGAATTCTAGGGAAAAATACATTTAAGGCAAGTAAAATGTACGTTTAACCTTATCGATAGAGGCAGTACTCATGGGGATTAAACAAGCTACATAAAAATGGGTAGGGGTCAGACATGAATCTTCCTATAGTGCTTCATGAATGTGTTTAAAGAAGTCCAATTAGCCAGCACATTCCTTTGAATGAGTGGGCTTTAATCAGTAGAGAAGATAGAACAGACTGACAAGTATATACCAAGACAATGGATGCTTTAAGCCATCTGGCCAAAGTAGCTTTGGAGGCCATATTTCCTGTTTTTGGCTTTAAAAAAAAACAAAACACACTAATGTTCTCACTTCAACAAAAAAATAACGTGTTCTATCCAGATAAAATTGTAATGATCTCTTATCATACAAATACATGAAATCTCGGTTTCTTTTCATTCTTAGGATTCATGTAGAATATAGGTAACATTCTCATGATTTGGATTGTTGACCAAACAAACTATAGGTCAAAATTTAGATGTAGTGTCAGGACCACCATATTCATGTGAAAAACCAGGTATACAAATCTGTTAGAAAGGGCTTACAATTCCCCAATGTACATAGCCGAGAAGATGGCTATTAGAAAGAGATATTCTTTCAAGGTAGATACTAGAGCTCAATTGACTGGCTTGAAAAGAACAAAGCAGAAAGGTCTATATTCAGATCACATGGGGGAACTAATTTCCTCACTTTCTGCAGGATATTAGAAACTGCCTTAACAAATATAATGAGGGAGTAGGGGTGGAAAGATTAAAAACTGGAAAAAAAAAAACAAAAAGAAATCCCAAAACAAACAAGAAAAAAAAAAACACCTTTCTATATTTGAAAAAGGACCCCGTGTCTCAGGAAGATGGTCACTGACCATCAAATTAACAATACTCTTGTTGAAGGCCAAAAATTAATCTGTGAATCTAAAGACACAATGCTGTGGTTCCATTCTAATAATATTTTGCTGTAGCATTCTCACCCAGGATTTTTGCCCATTTAACTGCAGGAATAGAAGTGGTTAGCAGACCAAGACATCTCACAGCTACTCTCACTGTGCAAGTCTTTTTAGTAGAAAGCCAGTATAGGTCATTTGCAAGTTTTGTCTATTTTTCCTTCGTGCCAATTCTGTGATTAATCCTAGAGAAACTATTTTTCTTGCTGGAAAAAAATACAACAGTGGTGAGAGAAAAGAAAACTTTCACCTAAAGTTAAAATGGTTGTAGGGTACTTAGGGCATAACCCAAAATAATCACAGAAAGAAAGACTGGAATGGGTTAACTAAACAACGCACCCAATATCCAGCCAGGTACCCTAATATGGATTGCTCTGCCAGCAATTGTCAAAAAGTGCCTTTTAAAGAGAGCAAAAAAAGAACTTAAATTTTATTAAATCCCTGTTTGGGTAGAGAACAAAGAAAAAAAAAAAGGATCTCTAATTTAATGTGAAAATTCAGACGAATGTACTGTTTTTGTTTCAAGGATCGAGGAAATAGGTACAATTATAGGTGGTAATTGTTGGGATATTTGGGGAGGTTCACAACAGCGTATCCCAGATTGGATAATAAATCAACTGAGAAGCTAACAGTGAGTAACCAAAGTACCAACACCTTATGCCCAGATTATAATATCCCAATAATGAATGGTGCCATATTTCCAACTAACTTGTGGCACCGTGCATTATTGAGATATTATAAACTGCAACTCTGAACATTCCAAGTGGTTCACTGGGTGGCCGTCGATTTGTATGCACAAACATGTGGCGGCGGCCATCTTGTTTTGTCGAACGCATCCAGCGGGTCATGGAACTATTCTGGGCAGGAGCCTGGTGTGCGGCCGGTCAGAAATGGGAATTCCATGCAACTTTTGGATTCCTGAACCGATCTGGGTGATTTTTGAATATCTTGCTCACCCAGATTGGTGCTATCAGGAAATATATTTTTTATGGGGTTCATATGTGATTTTGGGGTGTTTCCAAAAAGTATATAAAATATGTCCTTTTTCGTTTGGAGATAATTGAGTTGATACAGTGATTAACTCAATTATCTCCCAAGCAGGGGGGAGGGATTGTATGCCATCTGTGGGAGTGCCTCAGATTATAATGCTATTGTGATTGGTGTATACAATTGTGTCCTTGTCCCCAACAAGGTCCATGTGGGTGTTAACCTTGCTTGGGGACTTGCATAAACGGCCAATGTGGCTACCATTAAAATTCAGTTCTGCTTGACCCTCAACACGTCGCCTTGTCTTGTGCTAGTAGGGAACCTGCTTCACAGCTATATCACTAGCTATTGTAAGAGCTCTATTGCCTTATTGGATATTTGGTCGGCTGAGATGACAACTAGAGAATACTACAGCACTGCTCCTCTCAAGGGAAAAGGACATCTCTAACGGCATATACCCCTTTATATTTGGGGTGGCCGTTACACTTCATTTTCCTAGTTGTGCTGTGAAGACCATCAGGACCTTTGAGAGAGAGAAACACAACTCAAGGAAGATTAAAGTGCAAAAAGGCAAAGCGTTTAATTGACAATGCTCTACTTACCCCTGTTTTTTGATTGACAATCTTAGAAATCATCTGCTCTGCACAGAGACTTGAACATGTAGATATGAGTCTTCAAGATCTAAAGACCATATAGTGGATTTCTTGAGCGATTTGTGTAGTAGTACGGTAGATTCCAGGTGGCATTTATTTTTTGTTACATGTTTGTTTATAAACTTCAGATCTTGAATGGTTCTCCAAGATCCACTTGCTTTGGATACCAAAAATATTCTGGAATAAGTGCCTTTACTTTATTCCATGCTCATGACTTCCTTGTTTGAAAAGGAGTTTTTTACTTCCTTGATGAGTTGAGCCTTCGTAGTTACTAAAAAGCACATGTGGAATTTAACATTTTTTGGAGGCTTAAATAGAATTCTAATAAATAGCCATTTCTTATGAGAAGAGGACTCTTGTCTGATGTAGACTGGCTCCTGATGTCTTGGGAATTTTTTATTTTCAAAACTTTAGTTACTGCCTTCCACTCATATGGCTTCAGAATTGCTCTGTTTTTGCCAGTAGATTTGGAACTGCCTGATCATGTATCCACGTACAGTCTGTGTTCAGAAAAGTTACCGTATATACTCGTGTATAAGTCGAGTGCAGTTTTGTGACCAACAATTGTGAAATATGCTATGCCTCGTGGATAAGTCGAGGGTAAAACTTGGGGCTATGAAATTCTGTGATTTTTATAATTATATACACACACACTCATACAAACACACACACTGCATTATATACACACATACTCATACAAACACACATTCTGCATTATATACACACACACTCATATAAACACAGACTCTGCATTATATACACACACTCTGCCATAATACAGACAGTGACTCGAGTATAAGTCGAGTGGGGGTTTTTAAGCACAAAAAATGTGCTGAAAAACTAGACTTATACTCGAGTATATACTGTAGTTCTCCTGAATTCTCTCTGTAACGTGAGCAGCAAGAGGTTCAGCAAGAAACCTGGAATTCCAACAATTTTCTGAAACCTCAGCAACAAAATCTGCTGCTCCTCTGATAAGTAAAAAAAATAATAAAAAAAAAAAAAAATTACTTTCAAAAAACAAACCTCTCAGTATTGTGAATCCAAATTCTTTGTGTCATGACCGTAGCCTGGGCTGCTGAAGTGAGCAAGGCTCTATGTCAAACTTTTTGCCTTTTTGTACATGGAATCCTGTAAACCCGCCGTATCACCTATAAGTAAGGTGCTTTACTCGTCCAGCTGAGCTACTGGGGCGTCTACTTTTTTGTCTTCTTCATTTATAGCAAATACTTCTTTAAAGCATTTACACACAAAAAAAAATAAAAAAATAAAAAATGTTTTTTTGGAGGGGGTAGGGCTGCTCATTATGACGGCAGGACGCACTTCGAGTGAACTCCAAGCCTATTCTTTAGAAAATTTAAAATGAACTACGTCCCAGCACGCCATAAAGCTCTAACCCGAGACCTACCTGCTTTAGGAACCGACCGGGGTGCCTTGTACTACTTTAGATAACCACATTAAGAGAATTAACCGGAGGCTCCTATGAGGCCTAAGTCGGACGGGGGAAGCGGCCGCTACCCTCGATGTGAATCAATGCTCCTGCAGGAACGTATAGTAGCCCCGTGAACCCCCCCTTCCCTCTCTGGACCGGCGGGTTTTATCCCGGTTCCCACTGGACACTCATACACAGACGTAAAGCACCAATAGATTACCTTCAACTGGGAAAGCTAGTTGTTCCACTAAGATGGCGTCTATGCTCTCCAGTTATGGCACCGAGACTCTGCAGCCAGGGAAAGAGTGCTGTGCTCCTGTCGAGCACTTCTTGAAGCGACTGGATGAGCATTTTACCCATTTCTGGGCTTTCTTCGCAGCTCGCCAAGCCCAAAGGTCGCCTAAGCCCACAACAAGCAACCGGAATGGCGGAGGCCGGAGGATGCCTAGGCCTACTTCGGGCCTCACTCCTCACAAAGAGTAATACTGTTTGCTGTTCACCCACCTAGACCGGAGGCTACAAGGGACAAGGCCAACCTTCGTCGACCACGTAGACAAAGGATCGGCCGCAGGTTACGGTTTTATACCACCACGGCCATTAATCGCACCCCACTGGGGAAGACTGGGAATCTGCGAGCCTTCAAGTTAATGGCTCGAAAACGACGGCCAGAAAACCTGCCTGGGGAGGGAATGCGTACCTGGATCATGGCTACTCTCATCACACCTAAAGTGCGCAGCAAATGTATTCCTGACTGGGGCATCGGCTGAAGTGACATTTGCCGACTAGGGTAAACTTCCAAATATTGTTCCCCTCGCACCTTGATGATATCACAGAGTTCTTTACAGTCTGTGTGCCTGTATTTCTTCAGTTATAAGTTGCCTTACTGAATATTAAGTTTTCATTGTCTACACGCGGTTTGTGCCAAGGCGAAAAACACGTTATTCTTATGTTTATATGCCACCATACCTTAGCATGAATACACAATCTGTTTTAGAAATCTGTATACTTAGTATGATGAGACATGTTAATTCCTTGCAATTCATCTAATGTATACTGAGATACCCATGTTAACTCCAAGGACAACAAAAGTAAAGTTTGTCACCATCTTCCTTTCTACTAGAAATAACTTTTTTAATTAGGTTCCACATACTTGTAAGAAACCATTAGAGGAGATGAAAGATAGAAAAACCCAACAAACTATTAAAACGCCTCAGAGTGCGTTGGAGGGCTGGTGTGAGCACTCTTAATATCTGTTGACCGTCACCCTTTGGGTTGCCAGCTGAGACTGCACTTTAAATACACAAATACACCACTTCCCATTTGACTTGTGGTGCCATAAACGCCAGATCGCTTTGTGCATGCACTCTGGAACGCATTGCAACCTGTGTTTGCTTTCCATCTTGGCTAGGCTAGATAGTCGTGCACCTGGTGTGCCTCATCTCTTTCGGCACCATGCACGGATTGTAGTGGAATTTATAAATCGAAAGCATATGACTGGCGTGCCATCCACCAACCGATCACCATCTTGCTTCCAGTGGCATCCCAAAACAAGCCAAGAAACTGACAGCCCCCCAGGCACCCCTATGCTCGCACTAAGCCAGAAAGATGTACACATCACACAGTCCACTTCCTGGAGTCAGGCAGCCAACCTCTGAACAAAGGAACAGGATAAGGACCTTAACTATTAAAGGCTTCATATATCAGTGCCTTCTTTGTACTGTAAAGAGGTGGCATTTGTAACCACTAACCCCGGGGAAATAAAATTTATGGTAAGCAAAACACACACACACACATATATACACACATACATATATATACACACACACACACACACACACACACACACAAACATATATATATATATATATATATATATATATATATATATATATATATATATATATAAAAATCTAAATTTCTAAAATAATATTTAAAAAAAACTTTAGCCAAAAATATTAAGTCATTTGAAAAGCTTATCAAAAAATATGAAAATTGAGACTTTAGTTTATAAAGACATCTGCATAATTCATACACATTAAATCACTTTGCATTCATAAAGAGTCACTTGGCATGCCGTCTGGAATTAATTCATTTCACATCAGGAACACACTGTCCACAAACTGACAAGTATCAAGCCTAGCATGACAATGCAGAATTTATAAATCTCCTGGAAAGACATTGAGATCCGAGCAACCATAACGTAATACCAATTTACATGGCAGTCATAAATGGACAAGGCATCACTATTGATTTAGTTTACTATGTCTATGCACATATGTAGAACAAGAGAACTACCATAAAGAGGTTTGTTGGAGGACATGAGGCTAACCACTGAAACTGTTGTAGTGTGACCTTAAAATATCTCAATGACTGGGTAAAGAGATGATTGAAGGATCACTATAGGGTCAGGAACACAAACATGTATCCCTGACCCTATAGTGTTAAAACCACCATATAGCCCCCCTGGGCCCCTCATGCCTCAAAATCTTACTGTATTCAAGCCGGAAGCTGTAGATCTGCATGCTGTTTGCCTAAAAAACAAACAAGCAGTCTGCTGACATCATCAGAAGTGGTAGCCTGATCCAATCACAATGCTTCCCCATAAGATTGGCTGAGACTGACAAAGAGGCAGATCAGGGGCAGAGCCAGCATGATTCAAACACAGCCCTGGCCAATCAGCATCTCCTCATAGAGATGAATTGAATCAATGAATCTCTATGAGGAAAGTTCAGGGTCTGCATGCAGAGGGAGGAGATACTGAATGTTTGGATGCATTTTAGGCAGCCATGACCCAGGAAGGATCTCGAACAGCCATCTGAGGAGTGGCCAGTGAAGTTATCACTAGGCTGTAATGTAAACACTGCATTTTCCCTGAAAAGACAGTGTTTACAGCAAAAAGCCTGAAGGTAATGATTCTACTCACCAGAACAAATTCAATAAGCTGTATTTGTTCTGGTGACTATAGTGTCCCTTTAAAGAGTATGCAGAGTGAGAGATGACTAAACACATTATGGATGGATAGAGACAGCAAAGGCTATAATTCATGCTATAATCAAGTTTTTGCACACACCTGTCTCTGGCTGATGAAATGACAGGAACGTGAAACATTTCTTTTTCAGTGATTCTTCAAGTTGCCTCTGAAACCGATCTGTCATACCAAAAACATTCTGAGGGAGAATCCAAAAGGACATGAAATTCTGTGATAAAAATAGAGGTGTATATATCCCCATCTATATCCCATACAGCCTATTTGGAAGATAGTTATATGTGTTTGAGAAGAAATAGCTAGGGCTCTCTGGGTTTTTACACATGCTGACTATAGACTATTCTGCTCACAAACTGTATGATCTATAATAGTGTTGTGCAATACACACACGGCAGCAGCATAAACATGAGGTGGCTATTACCAACAGAATAATAATAATAATAAATGTACGAAGAGGAATATATTGTGTGCTCTGCCTGCTCCTTTTATTAATGAAGACAAAATAGGTTTTCGTTAGTTCCCTAGTCCTTTGAGGAATATTTGGCACTTAATTTTAAAAACATTGAGAGGAACACTACTTAAGTCATATATTGTGATTTACAAAAAGTGGCACAGCTGTCACGATTTTGGTTAGTTCTAATTATTTTTCTTCCTCTGAGCCACATTTTGTTTCAGTTTGCACCGTTCCCAGCTGTTTTTTTTTTTTACAACATTGCAGACTTGTACCTGCCATTATATAATTAAGTTATTACATATGTAGTATAAGCATTGGTATTCAGTCATCATTGATGTTTTCTCCCTTCCTTCTTCCTCTTCGATTCCCAATCCCCTTATTGAGCTTCCCAAACAGTGATTTGGGTTAGCTTCTTTCCTAATTAAAGTTCATCGATAGGGAAAGACAAAGGAAGAAAGAGGGAGAAAACTAAATTCTTTAAGCCTTATCCAACTCCCAATTATCCCCACCCTGTACCCTCCCCCCAACATTTCTTTTAGATCCTATTACAAATTCCATTATTTCCATCCTTTTTTATTCGTTTGTCTCTTGGAGAGAGAGATCACCATCCTATCTGCTTTTTCATTGATTTGCCTGTTTTTTCCGTGGTCAGCTTCTTGTCTCTTTAGGTTATTAATTGGGAAGTTTTCTTACATATTCGTGTAACTATAAGATTCGTGTCTATCCACATGTCCCACTCTTCTATCTGGATATAGCTTTTTCCCCAAATTCATTTAAATACCTTTTTCCATTTACTCCTGCAAGATGACTTGTGATATTACCTCTTTGATACTTGGGATTTTTCTTGTTTTCCAATTTCGTGCTAAGAGTAGTTTGGCTATGGTTGTAATATGTAATATTAATACTTGCAGGGCCAGCCTCTAGGCCATTAGGTGCCCTGTGCGAAAAGTATTCACACCCCCCCCCATGTTGCCTGTATACAGTCACGCACACACAGGCATAGGCAGTCACAAACAGTTACAAGCAGACAGTCAGACACGCTCAGTCACACACACACACACACACACACAGTTATAGGCAGACAGTCACATGCTCAGTTACAGGCATACAGTCACACATACTGTTACAGGCATGCAGACACTCACACACGCTGATAGGCACACACACACACACACTCAGTTAAAGGCAGATCGTCACACATACAGGCACACAATTGGAGTCACACACACTTACCTCTTTCCATTATGGCTGGAAGAGGAAGTGGATGCAGTTGGTTGTTGGGGAAGCAGGGACTCCTTCCTTATTCCCTCGTCCTGTGCAGCAGTTACCAGGGGCTTTGGGTAGGTATTAGCCCCGCCTCCACCTTGCGATAAGCCCTGCCACCTCGATTTTTTTAAATAGAGAATAATGAAATCCTCCACTCGGCTACTTGTTTTAACTTCCCTGCACTCCTATCACCTGGCCATGTGCGAGCTGTGTCGGGCACATGGTGCCCCAGGTCAATGGCGCCCTGTGCAGCCGCACAGCTGGCACACCTCCAAGGCCGGCCCTGAATACTTGTTTTCTCATTATTGGCCATCCTAGATTTAATAAGATTACTCCAGGTTCAAAGCCTAATTTCATCTCAGTTATTTGGTGTATCACTTTTATTATATCTTTCCAATAATTGTTTATGGGTATGCATTGCTACCAAATATAGATTAGGTTGCCTTTGTTAATATCACATCTCCAGCACCTCTCCGATGTCTCTGGGTAAATTCTCTTTAAACGTTGCAGTGTTTTTTTAAATTCTTTATTTTATGCGTGCTGTGTTAAGTTACAAGCTTTCTTATTAACTTTATGACAAAAGTTGTAATGACAATGTTAAACAAATAAGGTCAAGATGTGCTGCACATTTTTTTGTAAGAAAACAAGCTTAGTCATAGTAAGGCATTACATTAGCATAGAGGTCATAAAAACATGCAAATTGCCAGTGGATTAAACTAGAAGCAGGTATAGTAATCAATCATACTTAGAGAACGAGAATATTATATAGTCTTAAACTTATGAGGGTTGCTAACGAAGTTTGCTTGGTCATCCTATAAGGCTTAAAGGCTTTGTGGCCACTGGGTCCCCCCAACACTTTTGGGAAATTGGCATTACCTATGGTGCATGAAAGTGAGTTCGACCTGTATGGCAAATGGCGTCCATTAGTCCCTGATGCTGTTCAGCATGTGGACCCATCTGCATTTGTTTCTTTGCGCCTTTTGTTGCTTGGTCGTGGCTGTGCCGCGGGTGGCTCTCTGTTCCGGCAAATCGGGGGCCCTGTGAGTAGGCATTTGGGCGTTTGGATTGCCCTGCTTGGGTTCCTTCTGTTCCAGCATGGCGGCTTGAAAGGTAGGTGGCTGTGGTCGCCTGTGAGGTGATGCCAGAACTCCCGACATAATGCCTCAAACCTGGCGTCAAATGATTCCCTACACTGCCAGACCTCCAGGCTTGGTCTGCCATGCAGAGCATCCGCTGCTGCGGCCATCTTGTCGCTGCCGCGCAGTGTCAGGGCGTTGTTTTCGCTTAGATGTTTGGTGAGTCTGGGTTCCCGGTGGGGGCCGGGAAAACCCCCGCCAGTACAAGGGGGAGGGGTGGGACAGGGCTCCAGGAGTGAAGCTCCACTTGTAGGCCATCGCCTCAGGAGATCGTCCAGGTAGGCCTCCAAGCTGAATATAGTGGCTGTTCAAGATTTGGGTCCGGACCAGACAGCGTGCTCCTGGCTTATTTAATAGTCGGTTTGTGGCTCAGGCTGCCGTTTAGCAAAGGTTTTTGTCAGAAATAGCTTGGTTTTAGCTTGATTCAGCGGGAGCCCGAGAGAAACACGTCTAGTCCGCTCAGACACCAGGCCCCGCAGTGTTAAATACCATCTATTTGAAAGTTTAAATTGGGTTTCTATAAGATTTAGACAGTGTATATATTTATATAATTTACTTAGGGAGTTTAGCCAATCTTCTTCCTCTATATGTATTTGTAGCTCTCGTTCCCATTTTTTTATTTATCAGTTCTATACATCGATCATGTTTCCATTTATATATAACTTTAACATATTTTGTCAACAGGTTTTTATAATTTTTTAGTTCAAAGAGGTGGATGGCACTAGTTACTTTCAAGGAGGTATTCTGCCATAAAGCTTTCAATTTGTAAGTAACCAAAAGGTTTCATTCATTGAAATAGAGAATTCCTCTCTAATTTGATTAAATGACTTTATTTGAGGTCCCCCTATTATATCTCTAAGCATGCTTATCCCAACAGTCTTCCAATGATCTATTTTTACATTATCTAACATATCTGAAATTAAAGTGCATCAATTATTCTATTAAGTCCTATTTTAGCTATAAATTTATCCCACCCGCTAGTTAATTCTTTAAGCATCTGTGATTTACTTCTTGCCTCATTAATACGTTTTCTATTAAGATTCAGAATCCAAAATAGTGAACTTAAATTCCCTATCCCTGTTTTAGCTTTTTCCATTTTATATCATGTCTCATGAACCGCTGCATTATTTTGTGATCGCATTATATGAAATAATCTACTGGCCTGATAACATTGTAAAATTTCTGGGCAACCCAGGCCTCCATCTTCTCTTGACCTAGCTAAATTTTTCATTTTCACACTTGCTTTCTTACCACCCCAGATGAATTTTATAAAAGCTGAATGTAAGAACGATAGCCATTTTGGTAAAATGTATGCTTTTAATATATTGATTCTACCTGACCATGAGAAACCCATTCCTCTCCAATCCCTTGAGTTTTTATAAAGGTAAAGGTAAAAATTTGGCTTCTATTATATCTTTTAAATTCAAAGTTATAGTTATACCCAAATATTTCAGCCTGTCTTTTTTTTTTACCCAAAAGACGGCCAACGCAGAACTGCGCACGTCGATCACGACGGAACTCCACGCGCTGATAGAAGACCTACAAGGCCTCAACCAGCGAGTCGCACAGATCGAGGCGGACTGTGACCACATGGCATTGGCACAGGCTGCCAATACAGACACGCTGCAGCACCACACTACAGTGATGAGGCAGATGGCCCTGCATATAGAGGACCTCGATAACAGGGGGAGACGCCAGAATATCCGGGTGAGGGGGGTCCCAGAGGAGCTAGACAGTAAAGCCCCGGTACAGAGCACCTTGCTGGAGCTGTTCAACAGGCTCCTAGCTAGGCCACCCCAGACGCACATGGGCTTCGTTAGAGCCCACAGGGCCCTGAGACCACAAGGACCCCAGGGTGGGCCTCCCAGAGACATCATCTGCTGTATGGAGAGTTTCCAGCTTAAGGAGGAGATCCTCCGTAAGGCACGTGCCACGGAAAAGGTACTGTTAGACGGATCAGAAATCCAGCTCTACCCAGACCTGTCCCCAGCCACTCTGGCCTATCGGCGGGCCCTGAAGCCCCTCACCAGGCAGCAGCAGACCGCCAACATTAGGTATCACTGGTGCTTCCCCACAGGCCTTCAAATAGCAACACCCTCTGGCCCTTTCGTGGTCGCGGGAGCAGAAGATCTGGAGACGATTCAACGGGAGCTACATCTGTCGCCGGAGAAGCTTCTCTGGCCGAACCCGCTAAGATTCTACACAGAAGGCTCTAGGCCTCCAGGCACAGGCCCCAAACCCCACAGGCTGCGGGCCCCCCGCACACAGACGATACGACCGGCGGGGACACCGAATTAAATAAGCCGCCTACCCTGCCGCCCCCTGGGACTCTGAACCTGTATACCATGCCGTAAATGGGACGACTTGTTTTTCTTTACCCTCTATCTTCGACCATGATGCCTCGACCACTCGGAACCTTACTACACCAACCCCGAGACATGCAGCTGGGCTCTCACCTCCGGGCCCTGTGTTCGTGGGGAAACGGGGGGGCCATGGACCTCCACTCCCGGGCCTGGTGATGACTCTCCTTTCTCCTCACCCATACCGCAAGTATAATCCCGGGGAGTGGGGGGGCGTGGGACTACCGGGCTTCCCCACTACCCGAGAACTGTGGGCCGAGCGCAGGGGGGGGGACCGGGTGACCCCATGACGGATAAGGTGGCACTCCCTGCATGAGCTGGGCACAGAGGGAAGGGGATGGACACTCAAGTCCTGGACTTGTTCCTTTTGTATATGTGACCTGGGAGCTGATGGGCCCGAGATACACACCCAGCTAACCCTCGTAGACGTACCAAGATATTTAGCCTTCAGGCAGGCTATGCTGAGATACGCTGGGATGACATAAGGCTACTGCCACCTTGCTACTTACAGGGGTCAGGGGAGTCCATTGCGCTAGATCAAGGGGAGGGGACGTATGGCCCATATAGCTACACCATAGGCCCACCCCCCCGGCGGATACAGGGTACCTGCCGAGTTGCCGGTTCTCATAGTTTGGCGCAGCCCTTCTAGCCTTCCTAGCTTCCCCCAAACCTTGACACAGAGGGCTATGAGAGGGCCCTAAGATAGACTATCGTAGGGTCACCCAGACACGCATCCGCATGAATAGGGCGATTGCCGCCCAACCGGGAGGGGATAGGTCCAGACTGGGGTAATGCATGCCACGGAACCCGACGGGGTCATGGTGGGGCTCCCATTGCACAGAGTTAGTTAGGTATTTTCCTGACCCTAGGTTATTAGGGAAGATCCAGACACCAGGGGGCAGCAGGCAGGCAACACAAAATAGGCCAAGGAACACCACATCACACCTGTGGGCCGGACGACCCACTGGCCTCGGTCATGACACAGACCATGCAAACATTAGCTTACAGAGGTTCACCATAAGCTACAGTCCCTACTCGGAGAGCCATGAGACGGAGAGACGGGATGTCCCAACTGGGCGGAACTCCGGGGCTCGAAGCGGATCGTGACGATCTTTCTGGGAGCATCCTGGGCCCGCGGGGCTCTGCCTACTTGGGGTTTCTTGGACTCCTTTGCTACCCTATTGGCTGGAGCGTTCAGACTTAGGTGCGCGGTGCACCCCCCTACCTGCGGGAGAGGGGGGACTCACTGCTCCCCCAACGCTCGAATCCATAAACCGCCGCATACGGCGACACTAATCTGTACCCGGTCCCTAGACCTAGAGGGTGCGATCATCCCCTTCCTTCCCTCAGACCTACCCAGTTTTCCCCCAAGTTTCCCCATCCCACACTTTCTATACCTGACTACTGGACAGACGTAACTACATCACCTCTAAGTGATAGACTCATATCCAGCATGTCCCTGCTACCGGCCCCCCTCACAATACTCACGCTGAACGCTAGGGGACTCAACACGCCAGAAAAAAGGGCCGGGGCCCATAAAGATTTCAGGGCGGCCCACGCCTCCATAGTGTTTCTACAAGAGACCCACTTCCGAGCAGGCTCACGACCCACATTGACTAATCAACACTATCCGAAAGGATACTACAGCGACTTTCAGGGGGGTAAGTCAAGGGGCACGGCGATACTCCTACATAGACACCTCCCTTTCACGGAAACAGGGGTCATAACAGACCCAGAGGGCCGTTTCCTATTCGTCAAAGGGACGATCGCGAACACAACGTATACCTTTGCCAATCTCTACGCCCCAAACCGCCGGCAATATAAATTCCTGGCCAAGACGCTCCGCACACTTGTAGGCTTCCAGGAAGGCATCTTGATAGTAGGCGGAGACCTAAATGTAGCATTAGACCCCAAATGGGACTCCTCCTCAGGACACTCACACATTCCCTCGCAATACCTTACGGCCATCAAAGCTCTCCTGACCAGAACGAAACTAGTGGACTGTTGGAGAGCTTTTCACCCCGACGAAAAGGATTTCACCTTTTACTCCCACCCCCATAACTCCTACACCCGCATAGATTATCTCCTAGTCCCCAGCCACCACATACCGTTGGTCTTACAGGCCGATCAGGGCACCGTGACATGGTCGGACCATGCCCCGGTGACCATCAAATTACACTCCCCCTTCCATAGACCCAAGATCTCCAAGTGGAGGTTAAATGAATCACTGCTTACCAACCCAACGGTCACCTCGGACATTGGGAAAACACTACAGGATTACTTTACAAACACCTGCGAACAAACCCCCCCCCACCATACGCTGGGAGGCACACAAGTGTGTCAAAAGGGGGCATTTTATCCAAAAAAGCACACTCCTGAAGAAACAGAGAGAGGCCCGCATGGCCGCTTTGCTTTCGGACATAGAACAAGCAGACACACTTAACAAGCAACACCAACTCCCCACACACCAGGCCAAACTCCTCCGACTACGGAGGGAATTGACCACTCTCCTCCACTCCACACATCAGAGGGACGCATTGCGAAATAGGGCTTTCTTTGCAATACATGGAAACAAAAGCGGAAAGCTTCTAGCGCGCA